CCTTACGCTGCCCTATAAGATCTTTTGGGAGACCCTAGGAGCTGTCTTTTTTAGCTGTCCGCCATGGCGGGTGGGTGAAAGACCCGAGCTAACATGGGGTTAGCTCGTTAAATTACAATAAAGCCTCGTGCAGTTTGCAGCAAGCTCTCGAATCCGCCTGGTGATTGGGGTGACCGAGAACGTGGCCTGGGACCCCGGATACTTGAGTTTTCGGGGGTCTAACAATAGAACATAGATTAATATGGGTTAATTTAAGTTACAAGAGTTAGTTATAAACAAGCCTAAACTAAGGCCAAGCTTTTATAATTGATAAATCTCCATGTTATTTTTTTGTGAGCTGGTGGCCCAAAGAAAAATCCACATACATATGACGTCCAATGTGGAGGTTCGAATTTCCAGACATGGGACCTGAGAAAGTTGAAAGTTCTGGACAAGGAGCCAGACGTCCTACAGTCTTTTAGGGAGGCCAGTGCTTGGCATCCAGAGACTGGGCTACCACTGCCTGCAGGTTGGAGCCAACTACCAGCACCAGGTACAAATGTCATGCACTAGGCTGAGTCTCACAGTGGCTGACATGGCAGCTTAAGATTTCTCTCACACAGTCAAAGAATGCTGCAGGCATTTGGTAAAGCCAGGTCCAGACACAGAAAACCTCTAAAAAGGTACAGTGCACTTTAGGCGCTGAAGAAAGGAAAGAAAATGACTATAGACAGTGATAGAAAAAATAAATACTTTAAAAATAATAGCAAAGTCTTTAAGGAAAGAATAATATAAAAAAATAAGCCACATAAAGATGGGAAATATACAGAGTCTAGATCCTGTATGATGTCTTGTTGATTTAAAATTTTTTAAATGCTAATGAACAAAAAAACAATAACTGCTAAGAGACATTGGTTATAAAAACTGCTAAATTAAACCAGCCTACATATTTTAAGAATGTCTTAATTTCAAGATGAAAGTCAAAAAATACGTTGTTTTAGGGGAGAGGTTATGTTTCCACAGGAAACAAAAAGTTACGGTTCTCTTCAAAATTAATGAAGATCAGATTTGATTGGAGGAGACCTTTTGAAAATCTTGACTACAGACATAAAAAAAGAAACCAAGAAAGACTACAGGATGGATGACATATATGCTGATCCCTTGACATGGGAACAGTTCTGAGACTGGATGAGACATGATGAATCTTGTTGGCTACAGAATCCTCATGGCTTATTACATGCCATCCTTTCGTATGGCATGGATACTGGTTGGTTACAGCATCCAAATGGACTTATAAAGTTAACAGAAGCCTTCTACCTGCTCAAACATAAAAAAAAAAAAAAAAACATGTTTGGGGGCTGAAGAGATGGCTCAGAGGTTAAGAGAGCCGGCTGCTCTTCCAGCGGTCTTGAGTTCAATTCCCAGCAACCACATGGTGGCTCACAACCATCCGTATTGAGATCTGCAGCCTCTGGGGGTGGTGTGCATATATACATGGAAGCAGACTGTTGTATACATAATAAATAAATAAAATCTTAGAAAAAAACATGTTTAATTGACTTGTGCATAGTGCACATTCCAGTCTCGTGTTAATACAGATATATATAATCTTTAGAAGTTTCTGTGTTTTCAGAACAAAAGGACCAGACACCAATAAAGACAAGTAGCCCAGGTGATCCAGACTCTCAGAATGCCTGTGTTACAGTTTCCTCAAAATTCTGCATCCAAAACAACTTCAAAGCCACTAGCTGTGATACCCAGTCTTACAGGATACCCAGTCAAGATTTCAGATAAGCTCTACACTTTCCCATCACACAAAGACTAAACAAAAAATAATACAGCTAACTCTCCCAGGACTTGATCATTATCCCAATTTCTCAGGGTCCCCTAAAGATGACATCACCCTCAGACAACAGGGAGCGATCTAGAGAACATGATACCCACATTTTCAAGAAGTGTGGTGAGTGGATTTTTTGTCATTCAGTGGGTAATGGATATTTATCATCATTTACAGGGGTTGGTTACAAGTTGTTGGTGGTCAGGGATAGGAAAAAAGCTAAACAAAGATTGGATTCAGAAATCTCTTGATGAAGGAAAAAGGGGGGATATGGTATAGAAATGATGGGATAAACAGGTGGATTATTTGGTCTACTTTTGAAGAAGCACTAGCCTCAAATATTGTGTATTGATATGGATTTTTGTATACTAATACAAATTTAAGGTTATTTTGTTATACTATATATATATGTGTGTATATATATATATATGTATGTATATATATATATGTTTCTACTCTTGTCTAAGGTATTGTACCTATGCAAATCATTTAACAATGTAATATAAATTTCTAGTCCTTAATGGCTATTTAGAATAACAGAGAAATACAGGTTAGCAGTCATCTATAAAAATCAAATTTGTAGTTAGGTATGTTTTCAAGGTCAAACTATATTTTAAATAGATGGTCTTCAAACACTTAAAAGGCCTACACATTATGACATTTCAAATGTTTTAAGAACATAAGGCTTTTCATGAGTGGGACATGTCTACTCCTGGAAGCACCAATTTACTTCAAAAAAGGACGATGGGCAACAGAGACCCTCCATACGTGGGTGCTGAGAACCAACTCCTGCCCTCTATAAGAGCAAAGTGCTCTTAACTTCCAAGCCATTGTGCCAGCCACAGGATTGAGTTTTTTAAAGAGGGGGAGTTGTTGTTTTGGTTATTTGTTTGAGACAAGGTTCTCACCATGTAGCCTTGGCTGACCTCAAACTCAGATACCTACCTGCCTCTGTCTCTGAGTGCTGAGACTAAAGTCATGTACCACCATGCCTGACCTCCAAGACTGAGTTATTTAATGTGCATAAACTACCTGCCTTTTAAAGCAAACAAGGAATAACAACATGGCACTATTCTAGTCATCAAAGGCCTATAAAAATGGCATCAATACAAGATGTAAATCAATCTCAAAGATTGTGATGAGTAATTGGAACATGATTGGATGATATGATTTTTAGCAAGAACAAGAAGCCTAGTAATAGGTAAAACAAGCAACATATTAATTGAATTTAAAGTGTGTAACCATAATTTTACAAACTCTCCAGGTTTATAACGTTACTTTTTAAAATACTAAATTTTAGCCTAATTGTCTTTTTCAGTTAAGTGCCTAGTCAACAAGCCAACTGAGCAAACACATCTGCCCACATACATCCTTCCAGTTATGAGAGCCACAGTGTTTATAAACTGCACGGGGTTATGGAGCGGTAGGATTATTATTGCCTGGCACATAATAAGCAAACCCTTTACGCACCCTCCCTATTTTGCTTTATTTTTCTCTGATTTGTCTGCATTAACATGGTTTAGAACTCACACCTATATGCTGACATCTTTACGTTTTAAAGCCATTCTAAAAGATACATTTTAGACTTCACAATTTATTTTGTTCATTTTACTCTCTTTCCATTGTCCCCTCCCAACCCCTGCACACTAAAATGTGAGCTTCGTGAGTGCAAGGACAATCTTTTGTTTGTTCCCTTCAGTGTCCTAGAGCGACTAGAAGTGGGACACCCTAATAAATATTTAATGTACAAATTAACAATTGAGTGTCTTATGGATGCGTGCATCCTTCTTGGCCGAAGACTGAGAATTTGTGGAGAGCAGGACAGCCTGGTAAGGAAGAAATCAAGTCTCAGGATGGATTACAGCCATAATGGTCCAGAGCGCTTTTATGGGTCGGCCTCCAAGTTGCTTAGCAACAAGCCGCCCCTCCCTCATCGCCACTAGAGGGCGATCCGCAGGCTGGGCGGGGTAGCGAGAACGCGCGCGCGTTCACTGCGAGGCGCGGAAAGGCGAGGAGGCACGTCACTTCCTGTTTCTTTAGGGGAACGTGGCTTTCCCCGCAGTACCTCGCCTGCCATCTGCGTTCGTGCTGCGGCGGCCGGAGCTGGAGTCAGAGCCCGAGCGCAGCCTCGCCATGGATTCGGCCCTCAGAGACCCGCACAACGGCAGCACCCAGACCCCCAGCCCGGCCCACGGCACGAC